CTTCCTCCCCTAACTGTAACATGTATCTATTATAACTTTGCCAAGAATTGGAAAACCCTTTAGTAAGAATATGATAGCTTGATCTACATAGGGACTGAATCAATATGATACTTTAAAAAATACTTGTGATGTATCAGAGGGTTTTGAATTTCCTCACTTCTTTTTGATAGTTTTTGATGAATCAGGTGACAGCCAAGATGTAAGGGAAAAATGAAGAAAGAAGTGTTTAGTTGGGAGTGTGGTGGGCAGAACACAGGTATGGCTGGTAGTGGCCGTTTTCTCTCTCACTCTCCTAGTACCACTAGGACAAGAGGGGAAATAGATGACCCCCCTTCTTGATTCTAATAGGTGCTTCCAGACATTTTTTCATCTCATACTCAAAATGCTCAGTTTTGCATCTCACATTATCATATTATACCACCCACTACCATTTCCTTTTGCTTCAATCAAATTTCAGCTCCTGGCTTTCTCCTGCTCTAACTGTACTCCTGTCATAATTCTTGTGACTTTAGCAATAATACAGATGATCCTTCTAGTATCCTGATCTCTCAATTCCTGTCCTCCTACAGTAATTTAATCTTTCCTCAGTCACTTGCTCCCTTTTTCATATTCTCAATCTTGTATTACCAATAATTGCAACTCTGTTCTCCTAATACAGTAGTCCCCCCACCTTATTCTCATTAGTACCTCCTTATTTCAATTTCCATGGTTTCAGTTACCCATGGTCAACCGTGGTTCAGCAGAAGATTTTCCTGACCTACCATCAGAAGGTCAGTAGTAGCGTAATGCTATGTCATGATGCCTACATCATTCACTTCACTTCATCTAATCACTTTTTATCTCACATCATCATCAGAAGTGTGAGTACAGTACAATAAGATATTTTGAGAGCGACAATAGTCACATAACTTTTATTATATTGTTATAATCTATTTTATTATTATGTATTGTTAATCTCCTACTGTGCCTTATTTATAAATTAAACTTTATCATAGGGATATGTGTATAGGTAAAACAATATATACTGGTTTGGTACTCTGTAGTTTCAGACTTCTACTGGGGGTCTTGGATTGGATCCCTCATGGATAAGGGTTGGGGGAGTACTGTATGTCCCACTCTCCAACTATCACATTCTTATCTTTCAGGCTCACTCTGACTCTAATAATCCTTGGATCCCACCAGGATCTTCAATCCACTTTTTTTTTAATGTCACTCACCCTCTTTTTTTGCTTATTTCCCACCTACCTATTCAGTTTGTTTCATGGTCAATAATTAAAACCATTCCCTTGCATTCCCCCTCCCCCACTGTTCCTTTATTGCATTTTCAGTTCATTTTACTTTCTTGGCTGAATTGTAATCCTAGATTATATCTAGATCTCTGCCTCACTGCAAGCATTTCTACATTGAACATAGTTAGAGAAAAAACACAACCATGCTTACTGGTTTCCCTTTAAATTCATGATCACTTCCTCAAGGGGCCCTGATGCTGTCCAGCAACCATATCAAGTATCCCTGGGCTATTAATTCTTCCATTCTCCTAGAGGGCTGTTTTATAACAATACCTCTGTCCTCAAACATCTAGCATTTCTTTTCAAGTCCTTATTCTCAGTTGATTATGTTGCTTCCTGTTTCACTAAGAAAACTAAAGCAATCAGGGGCACAGCTTGTCTCAATTGGTAGAGCATGTGACTCTTAATCACAGGGTCATGGGTTCAAGCCCCATGTTGGGTATAGAGCCTATTTAAGATTAAAATATATATATATATATATATATATATATATATATATATATATATATATATAAAATAGAAGAAAACTAAAGCAATAAGGTGATTTTCACAAGCTTCCACAGCCACATCCTACTCTTCATGTAATTAAACCAATCACTCTGCCACGTCTATTCCTATGAGTATATTTTTAGCTAAGAACAAACCCTGCCCTTGTGCCCTAAATTTCGTCTCCTTTATCCTACTTGAGAATATTGTTTCAGTAATTCTGCCCTTCCATGTGATGAATTTTTGCTCCTCTAGTAGATTATTCTCACCCACATATGAACATGCCTTTATTTTCCCCCATCCTAAACCCTCATAACTCCTTTACCCCTCAGCTACTACCTTGTTTCTCTTCCTGTTTATAGCCTAACTCCTTGAGATAATCATCTCTTCTGTTTGTCTCCTATTTATCTCCCTGTCTCTTGAACTCACTCCAAGAACATTATCTCCTTACCATGCTACTACCCAAATAGCTTCTACTGTTGGTGTCCTCCATGTTGGAAAACCTAATCAGTCATTTAGTGCTCATTTACTTGACCTAACGGCAGTATTTGTCACAGTTCATTAGTCATTCTTCTTTTGAATAATTTTTTTTTTCACTTGGCTTTTAGGAATCTAGACTCACTTGATTTTCCTCCTTGTAGCAACTAGAGTGATTTTTTTCAGAAAGGACTTTAGATCATGTCATAGCTCTGCTCAAAACACTCCAGTGATTTCCCACCTCAGAGCACAAGCCAAAGTTCTTAAAATGATCTAGGGGCCCTCTATATCTGCCTCCCTCTCTTGATCCCTGCTGCTCTCCTCTCCTCCTTTCACTCCGCTTTCTCTGCTTCAGCTTTGTGGGCCTACCCACTGTTGCTTGAACAGTGAAGCTCCTTCTTACTTCTGAGTCTTTGTACTTGGTTTTATCTGGCTGAAATGCTTTCCCCTAATATATTCATTGGCTTCCTACTTTAATTCTTTCAGGTCTATAATTAAAGTCTCCCTCTCAGTAAAGTCTCCCTTGCCTACCCTGTCTGTTCCTGCATCTTTTTCCAAACACCATACTTCATATTTTTCTCCCCTACTTTACATTTTTTCTTTTAATACTTATCACAGAAGACATACTACATATTTTATTAATTTGTTGATTTTATCGTCTCTCTTTGACAAGAATGTAAGCTCCATGAGGGCAGGATCTATTTCTTCCCATTTTTACTGCTGTATCCCCAGATCCAGGAGGACAGCTCTTACTAGTACATAGTAGTAGGCATACAATATATAAATGTTGAATTCATATGGATTAAATTTATATGAATTTCATGGATGGAGGGGTGAATGGATAGATGATTGGAAAAGGAGGGGTACAGCTCTTCATTTCTCTTGGTTTGTCCTTGCAAGTTCAGATATGTGTCATAGGTTGAGAGTTGAGAAACAATTCTCTTGTCAAATTTATGGAGAAGAGACTTCCTGTACTATTTTTTCTCTTAGATTGGAGAGGGTTGTGGTATATGGTGTGTGGTATCTGATTCATCCAGCAGATTAAAACATATTGACTTTTTGATAGGTCTATAAATTATGAAACAATTCTTCCTTTCAAGGTAATTTAAATAAAGCTTACTCTGCTGACTTAAGTACTTTGAGGGGTGCCTAGTTGGCTCTGTTGGGTAAGCATCTGCCTTTGACTTAAGGTCATGATCGTGTGGCCGTGGGATTGAGTCCTCCATCAGTCTCCCTGCTTGGGTGGGGAGTTGGCTTCTCCCTCAGCCCCTCACTCTGGCTCGTGGTGCTCTCTCTCTCTCAAAAATAAGTAAATAAAATCTTAAAAAAATTAAGTACTTTGATACCTTAAGAAACTCTGTGTAACTTAATACAGAGGAAATGTCTTCCTTCTTTCACTTCTCCCTCTCTTTCTCACTTCTTTCTTTCCTTCATTTATTATATACAGACAGCATTGTGTTTGGTATTGTGAAAATAATCCAAAGAATGATAAGATACTCTTCCATTTCTTTCAGTCCATTCATGAAATTTAGATTATAGTTGATATAAAAGATATATGTGATAAAAGTACAAGGCAAATGATTAATGCCAGTTGAATAGTGAAGACAGTAACAATGGTGAAGTCGGTGTTATACCAAGTAGTCTAGAGGTAAAGATTGAACTGGCTAGAAAAGATCTAGAAGAGGTTAATTCAATGGATTGCTGGGGAAATCTGCATAGTCATCTAATGTCTTCTGAAATGGATATTTGTCACATGGTTTCATTTTATTTTAATGTGTTTTGAATTCCAGGAATGTTGGACATATCACATTCAATAATAATTAGGATAACTTCAGAAATAAGTGATTTTAAAGTGCTGTCTCTATTAGAATATTAATACTTGCCATTAAATGTCACAGTATGAAAATGACAGGTCATTGCAACTAACAGTGTAGTATAACTAGCAATGTAATAAATAGCACATCCAATGTGACTCAGATGGGGGGTATAAAAATGTGAAAATGTGGGGAATTTCTAGATGCTTGGTATGTGATGTGGAAGTCTCTGGTTGAAAACAAGCAAGCTAAGGCATCTTTTGTTTGCAATACCATTTTTTTGAGCAGCAATATTACAGGGTGCTAAAGACCATGGGGCTTGAGTTAGGCTGCCTAACTTCAAATTCTGACTCCACTATTTGTTGGCTGTAATCTTGTGCAACTTGATCTAAGTCTTTATTTTCCTCATTGTAAAATAAGGGTAATAGTAATTCCTTAAGAGATATTTATGAGGAATAAATGAAATAATTTATGTCAAAGTATTTATCATAGTGTCTAGTACATAGTAAGCATTTAGTAGCATTGGTGATTGCTGTCATGTTAGTAGTTCTGCTTCTCTGGGTTTATCTGAATAAATAAATATAACTGGATTTTTCTGCTTTTTATGTCATTCGAATTTGGATTTCTCTATTTCTTCTTATACCACAAAAGGTAAAGTTAAGGGACTGGATGAACTCCTATGAATTACATTATACTAACTGTTTTTTTTCCTAGCTTTTGCACACATACCTATTCCATATTATGCTGTGAGTGTTACAATACAAAGATAACTTCAGGTAGATAAATATAATTAAGTCTCTTAAATGGGTATATGATTTTTTCTTTCTTTCTTTTTTTTTTTTGGACAGGAAATCCTTTTGTGCTATTGGTCATTCGTACTTGTTCATCAAGGCCATTGAGTCCTCAAGGGCAGAATTTACTGCTAAACCGAAAAATGGAAACTAAAGTACCTTTATTCTGCCAGGTATTTTTTCGAAATCGTTTCTAAAGACTCCTTCCTCTTCTTCTTTTTTTTTTTTTTAATTAGTTTACATTAAAATTTTTTTTTATATTATCTCACATCCTTAACCAGTAAGCAGATTCATAGAGCAATATAGTTAGAAGATCTTGCTTAACAACTAAGGTAACTTCTCAGGTCTTTTCATGGGCATATGCTGAAACTTCTCATCCCAGCCATCTATGTAGTGTCAAGAGATCTGAGGTGTATGATGAGAGTATTTTGGGGGTAGGAACTGGGATAATTTTTTCAGGAGAATAAAGGATTTAAACCTACATGAGAGGTTGTAGATGACATAACTAATGATGTGGGAATCCAGACGGTAATATAAAAGATACCAAGTTTCTCTAGCCTTCTTATCTGTGATTCATGGGGTACTCTTATCCATTGGCCAGTATTGTATCAAACAAAAAACAAACCTGAACTTAGTAAGAAGAGACTTTATTCGAAAGGATTATTGTGAGAGGGAAAAGGGACTATTTATTGAAATAGCAGGAGGGGGGACTATTACAACAGGGAGAAAGCTGTGACCAGAAGATCTGCGAACATCTCAAGGGCTAGGCAAAAAGAGCTTTCTTCTTTTTTTTTTTTCCCTTAATAGACAGGAGTCAACAAGGCTAGGAAGAACTGGATGTGGGGAAGTGGAATGAAAGAATGGCATGATTGGATAAATAGATCAGAGAGTATTTTAGGGGCCAGGAGGAAGAAGAGAAGCTTAACCAATTTTGGCTCATAAGCATTTTGTTCTGATTAGTCAGTGGGATTAAACATTTTGACTCATCATGCATGAAGGAAAGAAAGGGAATTTTGGCTTTGTCATAGGTAAACAAGGTGGTCATCTGTGAGTTTTATCTAAAGTATATGAGGAAGGGTTCTTTGCAGTAAGCCATTTTCCAGAAGACAAAAGGGTGAGGGGATTCCTTTAATTTTCACTGTTTTCTGGAAGCATAGGACTCAGGTAGAACTCAGTGCTGTCCAGTGAGAGTCTTACCCTTTTAAATTTATGCTTTTAATGGATTTGGTGCCACCAGGTAATACATGTATCTATACTATAATCCAAAACAGAACAAAACAAAAAACCCCCAAGGCTTCTTGCTAAGTACCAAGGTTTGTGATATACATATTAACCTGTTCCACCTTTTTATACCTAATTCTTTGTTGATTGGGCCCTCATAACCTGATTTTGAAGATGAATTCTTAAAATTAAAATAATTAACAATGTTAACATACCATACCTGTTTGTCTTCCATTGGCTATATAGTTTATACTTCTTACATCTTTAATTAACCATAGAGTTTCAGAAGTTGTTTCATTTTCTCTATCATCAAAGTTTCTGTTCACTACTTGACCACTTTTGTGCCTCTGGTCTTTGATGACAGGTTTTTTGCCTCTCTTTTTTAGATCTTCCTCTTTTTAGTTTCCTGGTTTTTCTTTTGAGTCATTTTTCTGAATGCCTCTAGGAAACTTTTCATCGTTCCTAATAAACACCTTGTTAAGGCAGCAAATCAGATTGCCTTTTTATGAAGCAAGTTGTTAAAGGTGTGCCTCTGTTGTAAGACAAATATATGCAGACCCTATAAGTCACTGAAGTAGTTCCCTTCATTTCCATTTTATGCAGAAATAGAAGTTCTCTAAACTCCTTTGGTGATCTGCTTTATAAATTGCCTGTGTTAATTTTTCAGGGGTTAAAAACTAATAGACCTTAGATCAACTAGTTGCATTCCAGTTGTTTTAAGCAAACAGCCAGATTTCAAAAGAGTTTATTTCTAACTTCATTCCTCTTTTTCTAAACATGTTCATTGCTTCTAGGCTCTAGTTTCATTTTTGTTGGGGGGGGGGCCTATCTATTTAGAAGTAATATAGCTGCTTTTTTTTTTTTCTCAATAGACGTTATTTTTTCGAGCTGTTTTAGATTCACAGCAAAATTGAGTGGAGAGCCCCGATACGCCCCCTGCCCCTATGCTTTTCCAGCCTCCTCCAGTATCAATATTCTACACCACAGTGGTACTTTTGTTACGGTGAACCTACCCTGGCATATCATTTTCACCCAAAGTCCATAGTTTACATTGGGATTGACTCAGTGTTGTGCATTCTATGAATTTGGAAAGATGGATAATGACATATTGCCATTATTATAATATCATATAGAATAGTTTCACTGACCTATGTATCTTCTGTGCTCTGCTTATTCAACTTTCCCCACCCCTCCTCACCACAGGCGACCACTGGTCTTTTTAGTCCGCGTAGTTTTGCCTTTTCAGAATATCATATAGTTTGAATCATACAGCACGCCATCTTGACAGTTGGGGTTCTTTCACTTAGTGGTATGCATTTAAGGTTCTGCCACATCTTTTCATGGTTTGACAGCTCATTTCTTTTCAGTGCCAAATAGTGTTCCATTTCCTAGATGTACCACAGTTCATTTATCCACTCATCTACTGAAGGTCATTTTGTTTATTTCCAAGTTTTGGCAATTAGTAATAAGGCTGCTATAAACATCTGTGTGCAGGTTTTTGTGTGCATATAGGTTTTCAACTCCTTTGGGTAAATACCAGTAAGTGCAATTGTTGCAACATATGGTAAGAGTATGTTTAGTTTTGTAAGAGACTGTTTTTCTAAGTGTACCATTTTGCATTCCCACCAGCAATGGATGAGAGTTCCTCTTGCTCCACATCCCTGCCAGCATTTGGCTTTGTCAGTATTTTGGATCTGGGCCATTCTAATAGATATAGTGGTATCTTGATGTTTTAATTTGCAATTCCCTAATGACATGATGCCAAGCATCTCTTCATGTATTTATTTGATATTTGTATATCTTCTTTGGTAAGGAGTCTATTAAGATCTTTTGCCCTTTTTTTTTTTTTTTTTGAGAGAGAGCATGTGCCATTGGGGACAGGGGCAGAAGGAGATGAAGAGAGAGAATTCCAAGCAGGCTCCATGCCCAGGATGGAGCCTGTTGTGGGCCTCAGTCTCATGACCCAAAGATCATGACCTGAGCTGAAACCAAGAATTGGGTGCATAACCAACTGAACCACCCAGGCGCCTCAATCTTTTGCCTATTTTTAATTTGGGTTGTGCTTTTTCTTATTATTGAGTTAAGAGTTCTTTGTATATTTTTGAATATACAAAAAAATACAGCCCATTATCAGATATCTTTTATAAATATTTACTCTCTGTCTGTGCCTTGTCCTCTTACCCTCTTGAGAGTCTTTAATGGAGCAGAAGTTTTTAATTTAATGAAGTAAGCTTAAAGATGCCTTAAAAACTAGATTCAACAACCATTAAATACATTCATGAATGCTGGGCATTTTATAGCTGCATAATGCACTGAAGATAGTTGGTGGCATTTAGAATATGTACCTAATCTGGACTAATGCACTAATAATTAAATCCTTTTTAATAAAATTCTGTTTGGTAGCATCATTTTAGAGAAAATATTGATCTACAATGAATGATTTTACCCAGAATGTCATATTTAATTTATATGTGGAAAGAGAACATAGTTGACTATGGATCTTGGTTGATCCCCAGGCAGAAGAAAATATCAGTTTATCAGATCATGGCTGTAATTCATTTGCAACCAACCTGTCATCAAGACATACTGAAAACAAGAAAGACGTCAAGTTTTCTAAAGCAACGCAAAAGAGAATTTCACATGAAATTAGGGATTTGAGACTAGAACACAAAAAAATGTAAGTTAAACTTTGAAGTTAGTTGAATTATACTTCTGTAAGTTTGAGAGAATAAAAAATGTAGCTCATAAGTTCTCCTAATGTATTAAAATGTAGAGGATCATGCATATTTGTGGCCATTCTTTCAGAAGTATAGTTTTAATTCCTAGATAGCCATTCTCTTCATTTTTTTTTTCTCACTTCTCTCACAACTTTGTGGAAACCTATAAGCCATCATAGATTTCCAGTTATAGGAGAGCAATTATCCATATGTCTGTTAATTTGTCTTTAAGTAATATATTTAAATGTACTGTGTGATAACATATGTTTACATTGGGAAATGATTGACACTTTTTACTCATTTCACATATTTACCTCATTTACTTATTTATTTTTGGTGAGAACATTTAAGTTCTACTCTCTTAGCAAATTTCAATTATGTAATACAGTATCATCAACTATAGTCATCATGTTATACATTAGACCCACAGACCTTATTTATCTTTTAGCTGAAGTTTTATAACCTTTTACCAGCCTCTCCCTATTTTTATTTACCATACCCCCAACCCCTGGAAACCACCATTCTACTCTCTGTTTCTGTGAATTCGGCTTTTTTAAAAAAAAGATTTGAGAGAGAGAGCATGAGCAAGAGAGCATGAGCAAGGGGGAGGGGCAGCAGGAGAGGGAGAAAGAGGCTCCCTGCTGAGCATCTGGTAGCCCAATGCTGGACTCAATACCAGGACTCCATCCCAGGACCCTGGGATCATGACCTGAGCTGAAGGCAGGGGCTTAACTGACTGAGCCACCCAGGTGCCCCTGAATTTGGCTTTTACTAGATCCCACATGTAAATGAGATCATCCAGTATTTGCCTTTCTCTGTCTGACTTATTTTACTTTACATAATGCCCTCAGGTCCATCCATGTTGTCACAAATGGCAGGATTTCCTTCTTTCTCATGGCTGGGTAGATTCCAGTTTTAGTGTGTATGTGTGTGTGAGAGGGAGAGTAATATAACATCTTTAACCATTTATTTGTTGATGGACATTTAGATTGTTTCCGTATTTTGGCTATTATGAATAATGCTGCAGTGAACATGGGAGTGTAGTATCTCTTTGAGATCCTGTTTTCATTGCTTTTGGACATATACCCAGAAGTGGAGTTGCTGGATCATATCGTAGTTACATTTTAAATTTTTTGAGGAAACTCAACAGTTTTTCATAGTTGCTGCACCAATTTACATTCCCCCCAGCAGTAAATAGGTACTTCCTTTTTTCCACATGCTTGCCAATACTTGTTTTTTCTTGAAAATAGCCATCCTAACAGGTGTGAGGTGATATCTCATTGTGGTTTTGATTTGCATTTTCTTGATGAGTGATGTTGAGCGCCTTTTCATGTACCTGCTGGCCATTTGTGTATCTTTTTTGGAAAAGTGTCTATGCAGGTACTTTTTAAAGTGGATTATTTGTTTATTTGCTATTGAGTTGCATGAATTCCTTGTGTATTTTGAATGTTAATTAATCAGATATGTGGTTTTGCAAATATTTTCTTTCATTCCATGGGTTGCCTTTTCATTTTGTCAATGGTTTCCTTTGCTGTGCAGAAACTTTCTTGGTTTGATATTATCACATTTGTTTATTTTTGCTTTTGTTGCCTTTGCTTTTGGTATCAAATCCAAAAAATTATTGCTAAGACCAATGTCAAAGAGTTTACTGCCTATGTTCTAGAAGTGTTGCTCTTTCTTTCTCAAGATTGCTTTGGTTCTTTGAGGTCTTCTGTGGTTCTATACAAATTTTAGGAATATTTGTTCTATTTCTGTGAAAAATGCCACTGGAATTTGGGTAAGAATTGCACTGATTCTATAGATTACTTTGGGTAGTATAGACATTTTAACAATATTAATTCTTCCAATCCACAAACACAGAATATACTGCCACTTAATTTGTGTCTTCTTCATTTTTTTAATTAATATTTTATAGTTTTCAGTGTCCAGATCTTTCACCTCCTTGGTTAAATCTATTTCTAAGTATTTTAGTTTCTGATGATATTGTAAATCGGATTGTTATCTTAATTTCTATTTCTGATGATTTGTTGTTAGTTTATAGAAATTTCTGCAACTGATTTTTGTATATTGATTTTGTATCCTGCAACTTTACTGAATTTATTTATTAGTTCTAACAGGTTTTTTTTTTAAAGATTTTGTTTATTTATTTAAATAAAAATAATTTTTTAAAAAATTATTTATTTATTTATAAACAAAAATTTATTTAAATAAACAAAATTTAAAGATTTTGTTTATTTATTTGACAGAAAGAGTGACAGTGAGAGAGGGAACACAGGCAGGGGGAGTAGTAGAGGGAGAAGCAGACTTCCTGCTGAGCAAGAGAGCCTGATTCAGGGCTCTATCCCACGACTCCAGGATCATGACCCATGCCAAAGGCAGATGCTTAACGACTGAGCCACCCAGGAGCCCCATTTCTAACAGTTTTTTGATAGAGTCTTTAAGGTTTTCTATATAAAAGATCATATCATTTGGAAATAGAGACAGTTTAACTTCTTCCTTTCCATTTGAATGCCTTTATTTCTTTTTCTTGCCTAATTGCTCTGGCTAGGATTTCAATACTATGTTGAAGAAAAGTGGTGAGCGTCGGCACCCTTCTTTTGTTCCTGATCTTACAGGGAAAGCTTTAAGTTTTTGACTGTTTAGTATCATATTAGCTCTGGCTTGTCATATATATCCTTTATTGTGTTGATGTATATTCCTTCTATACCCACTTTGCTGGGATCTCTTATCATGAAAGAAAATGGAACTTTATCAGTGTTTTTTCTGTATCTTTTGAGATGATCATATGATTTTTATCCTTCATTTTGTTAATGTGGTTATTTGGAAAAACCTCAGTTCTCCTATGTTTCTCCTTTACTATCATACTACCACCATACTCATAACACTTCTGACACCCAGATGTGTGGTATCCTACACTAAGCTATTCTGTGACACCAGTTGGATGTCCTGCAATTTAACTCAATTCTAATACTATCTACCTAGAGATAGCATCAGATCTCACAGGTTAGTTGGCTAAGTCACATGAGACTGCCTCCCCCACATGCACTTTATATGCCAATCTCAAGTAGTAAGTTCCCAATTTCCCCATAACTTTTGTTGGATTTAGATACAAATCAGAGGTTCCCATGACCCTTCTTTGAGTTTAATTAATTGCTACAACATCTCACAGAACTCAGGGAAACACTCATGTTTACCAGTTTAGTAAAGGATATGACAGAGTATACAGGTGAATAGCCAGATGAAGATATACACAAAGTGAGATTTGGGAGCGTCCCAAGCACAGGAGCTTTTGTCCTCTTGGAGTTGGGGTGTGTCACCCTCCCAGTTTGTGGATGTGTTCACCAACCCAGAATCTCTCCAGAGAGGGGAGAAGAGCTGGAAATGGAATTAATAATTGATCGTGCCTACATGAGGAAGCCTCCATAAAAATCTCGGCAGTATGGGGTTCAGAGATCTTCCTTGTTGGTGTAAACATCCACATACCAGGAGGGCGATGTATTCTAACTCCAGAAGAATAGAAGCTCCTATGCTGAGATCCTCCCAGATTTTGCCATATGTGTCTCTTCATCTGACTTTATCTGGATCTTCTATCATATATGAAAAATAAACTTGTTAACATAAGTAACTATTTTTCTGAGTTCTGCGAGCTCTTCTGGAAAAGTAATCAAATCCAAGGAGGGCCTTGTAGTAGGAATCTCTGATTTATAACTTATCAGTCAGAGTTGTGACTCCACAAGTAGGTTGGGGGCAGTCTTGTGGGACTGAGCCCTTAACCTGTGGAATCTGACAGTATATTCAGGTAGATCGTGTCAGAATGGAGTTAATTTGTAGGACACCCAGCTGGTGTGCAGAGAATTGCTTCATGGGATGGGGGGTACCTCACACATCTAGTGTCAGAAGTGTTGTGAGTATGGTAGTAATGTGAGAGTAAAGGAGAAACAGAGGAATGGGTTTTCCCTATACTGTGCTGTATCACATTTACTAATTAGCCTATGTTGAACCATACTTGAATCCCAGAAATAAATCCCACTAGATCATTAATGTAATGTTTATTTGGTTTGCCAGTATTTTGTTGAGAAATTTTGCATCTATGTTTATCAGGGATATTGGGCTGTAGTTTTCTTTTCTTGTTGTGTCCTTTTCTGGCTTTGCTCTGCTGAGGCTTATGCTGGCTTCATAAAATGAGTTTGGAAGTGTTCTTTCCTCTTCAATTTTTGGGAAGAGTTTGAGAATATTTGACATTAATTCTTTAAATATTTAGTAGAATTCACCAGTGAAGCCATCCTGGACTTTTCTTTGTTAGGAGATAGATACTGATTCTATCTCCTTACTAATAATTTGTCTTTTCAGATTTTCTGTTTCTTCATGATTCATTCTTACATGGTTTTAGAAACTTAGAAATTTATATGTTTCTTCTAGGTTACCTAATTTGTTGGCATATAATTATTCATAGTAGTTTCTTATGATGTTTAGTATTTCTGTTATCAGTTGAATGTCTCCTCTTTTTTCTGATTTTATTTATTTGAGTCTTCTCTTTTTTTCTTAGTCTAGTAAGATTTGTTAATTTTGGTTATCTTTTAAAAAAATAAGCTCTTAGCTTCTTTGATCTTTTCTACTGTCTTTTTAGTTTCACTTGTTTGGCTCTAATCTTTGTTATTTCCTTTCTTCAATTAACTCTGGGCTTAACTTTTTTCTTTCTTCCAGTTCCTTGAGGTATAAAATTAGGCTGTTTATTTGAGATCTTTCTTTTTTCCTTATATAGGCATTTATCTTTATAAATGTTTCTCTTAGAACAGCTTTTGCTGCATCCAGTAAGTTTTGGTATGTCATGTTTTCATTTACTTTGTCTCCAGATGTTTTTTAATTTCTCTTTTGATTTTCTCTTTGACCCATTTGTTGTTCAGGAACATGTTTAATCTCTACATATGTGTTTTTTCCCAGTTTTTTTCTTGTAATTAACTTATTGTTTTATACCTTTGTGGTCAGAAAAGATGCTTGATATGATTTCAGTCTTCTTAAGGTTTTAAAGACTTGTTTGGGGGTGCCTGGGTGGCTCAGTGGTTGATCTCAGAGTCCTGGGATTGAGCCCCCCATCGGGCTCTCTGCTCAGCGGGGAGCCTGCTTCCTCCTTCTCTCCCTGCCTGCCTTTCTGCCTATTTATGATCTCTGTCTGTCAAATAAATAAATAAAATCTTTAAAAAAACGACTTGTGGCCTAACAATTGATCTATTCTAGAGAATGTTGCATATATGCTTGAGAAGAATGTGTATTCTGCTGCTGTTGGATAGAGTGTTCTCTATATGTTTGTCCCTATAGGTCCATCTGGTCGATGATGTAGTTGGAATCCAATGTTTCCCTTTGTCTTTCTGTCTTGTTGATCTATCCATTGTTGAAAGTGGGGTATTGAAGTGTCTCTAAGTATTGCTGCATTGCTGTCTATTTCTCTCCAGATATATTAATACTAGTTTTATATATTTCAGTGCTATTATGTTGGATGTATAAATATTACAATTGCTTTGTCCTTTTGATTAATTCATCCCTTTATCATAATATAATGAATTTTTTGTTACAGTTTTTGACTTAAAAACATGTATTGAAATTTATTTTGTCTAAAGTAAATATAGCTACCCCTGCCCTCTTTTGGTTTCCATTTGCATGGAATATATTTTTCTATCTCTTCTCTTTCAGTCTATACTTGTCCTTAAAGCTGAAGTGATCCTCTGGAGGGCAGCATATATTTGGGTCTTTTTTTTTTTTTTCTTTTAATCTATTCAGTCACTCTATGTCTTTTGATTGGAGAATTTTGTCCACTTATATTTAAGGTAACTGTTGATAGGTGTGGACTTACTATTGTCATTTTGATTGTTTTCTGGCTGTTTTATAATTTCTTTGTTCCTTTATCTTGCTCTCTTCCTTTGTGATTTGGTAATTTTTCTCTAGTAATATACTTAAAAAAAATTTCTTTTTTAAATTTTTAAGTAATCTCTACGCCCAATGTGGGGCTTGAATTTACAACCCCGAGATCAAAAGTCACATTCTTTCTTAAAAAGCCAATCTAGTGTAATGAACTCCTTTCACTTTTTTTTTTTTTTGGTCTTTAAAACTCTTTGTCTGTCTTTCCATTCTGAAGGACAACTTTGTGAGGTGGTGTATTCTTGGTTGGCAGGGTTTTTTTCCCCTAGCACTTTGAATATATCATACCACTCCTTTCTGGCCTGCAGGTTTCTGCTGACAAATCTGCTGATAGTCTCATGGGGATTCTCACTATTCCTTTGTGTTAGATGACAAAAGTCAAGGAAGGAATGGGAGGTGGTAGAGTGTTCCTTTACTTTATTTTATTAACTGTGTAAAATAGGTTAACACCTGGGGACACACAGTGCCCTAGAGGAAGTGCATGTCTGGGAAAGGAAATGTACACATGAGCCTGGAGCATCTGGTGCTACAGAAATAAGGAAACTAATAAAGACTCCTATCAGAGATTCATCAAAAGGACTCAAGAGCCTACTTAAAGAGACTCCCACCATACATGTGACAATTGGGGTGTCAATAAGGGTAATAATTACAAGGAAGTAAGATGAATTTAATGTATGTAAATCCAAGGGTACAAAATAGTATAAAAATTATTTTGTCACTAATGGAGGATACAAGTGACCCAAGTCATTGTTATGAAAAGTGGTAAATAAAGGAAAAGAATAAAGTAATTATCCCACCTTTCTATATGAACTATACCACTGAGTAACCAATAATACCCAAGAGGAAGTTTTTCTTTATAGAAATATCTAATGAGTGAAGAAGGAATGATCGTTTTAGGTATAAATATTTTATAGTCCCTGATGATTTGCTGAGTCTAGTTATTATGTATAAGTATAGAAGCTAATACCACAATTAGAGAACCACTTGTACATTATATACCTCCCAGTGGAAAACATCAGCATCTGTATGGTGGTTTTACTGAAAAAACAAATAAAAACTGTGAATCCTATTAAATCTTTAAAGTCCTACAACCAGAGATGCCTGGGTGGCTTCATCAGTTAAATGTCTGCCTTTGGCTCTGGTCATGATCCCACACGGGGCTCCTTCCTCAGTGGGGAGCCTGCTTCTCCCTCTGCCTGCCACTCACCCTGTCTGTGCACTCGTTCTCTCTTTCTCTCTCTCTGTGACAAATAAATAAATAAAAATCTTTAAAAAAAAATCCTACAACTGTGGTAATACAATCAGCAAAATCCAGACTGGGAAATCTATAAGACAAATTGCCTGGAAATGATGATCTTGATGATGATAAAAGACATGGTAGGAGAACCTATAGATAAATGGAGATTTAAAAGACACATCAACAAACTGTAATGGGGACCTTATTGAATCCTGATGCAAAGTGTTAAAAATTTTTGATATTTATGAAACAGTTGGAAATTTGAACACTGACTGTGTTTGGTAATATTAAGAAATTATTGTTAATTTTTTGGGTGTCATCATTGTGTTCCAAATATATTTAAAAAAACACCTTTTAGAAATTCATACTAAAATTTTTTCACATGAAATAATATAATGTTGGAATTTGCTTCAAAATAATAAGAAATGGGAGTATCTGAATGAAATAGGATTGCCCATTATTGAAGCTGGGTGATGGGTACATGGGAAAATTATCACATTACTCTACTCTTGTATATGTTTGAAAAGTTCTGCAAATAAAAGATGAAAAACAATAAGTAATAAAAAAAAGTAATTCAGGAATTACTCCATTTTTATATGCATTTTAGGAACGCAACATCAGTATTCCTGTGTGGAGAAGAAAAATTCTCTGATTTTTCAGGAGAAGAAAATGTCAAGAGAGAGAAAACTTTACAAGGACAATTGCATACTAAAAGGACTGAGGTAAATTAATGATCTGGAAATATTTATTTTACTTTTGAGTGTTGCTTTTGGCTTTCAGACATTCCATATCATTTTAGTTCAAGTATTGAAATGTCACAATCTGAAATACTTCCACTTCTTCCTCTTCTCCCTTTCAATCCTCCCCCTTTTCCTCCTTTTCTTCTTCTTCCTTTTTTTTTTAATATAACAAAGAACCCTTTTCCCCCTTTTCCTCCATTAGACTTTCATTTTTATGAAATAAAGGTGCTCTCTGTTAATACTTCCGCTGTTATAATAATGACCTAGTCATTCCTTCGCTGTGGCAGCATAAATTCAGTCCTGGCCTCCAACTTGCTCTGTGTATGGTCTTCTCACCTGTGTTTGTATCCTAGGTCCTGTTCTACTTTTATAAACACATCATTGTAGATCTCATTTTGAGATCCTTGACTTTGTTCCATCTGCAAAGACCTTTTACCAAATAAAGTCACATATATGTTCCAAGGATTAGGATATGGGCATATCTTTTTGTGGGGCTGCCATTCAATCTACTACATTCACTATATGATGTACTTAGATACACTCTCTTTTGTCTGGATAATTTCTCCCATCTGTTTTCTAGTTTTTCTTTCTCTAGCTGAATCTAATCTGCAGTTTAACCTGTCTATTGAGATATTAATTTCAGTGCTTATATTTTTTACTTCTAGAAATTTTATTTATTATTTTTTTAAAATCTGCCTTCTGTCATTTTCTTTGTTCATGTTCCATAGTTGTTTCAAGATTGATATCTGATAAACCTAATATAAAGTCCTTGGGGATCTAAATCTGCTATTTATTGCTTTGTCTAATTCTCACTCATTAACTTATATCCTTATATCCTATATATCAAACTATATATTTGATCTAAATCTGTGGGAATCTCATGATGACTCTGGATTTAGAGTACTCTCCTCCAGGAGAATTTGAATTCACTCCTGCCCTGCACTTTAGAATTGTTACAAACATGGAACCACTTTAAATGAATTTTTTGGTTTCTATTTTCCTAGCCCATGTATTTAGTGTAGATTTGAGTTCTGTACTTATGTGTGGGTAGACTGTAGCTATAACTAATCAAGAAGAGTACTCTCTTTTCTCTCTCTTTTTCCAGCCAAGAGCTGAGACAAAGACAGATTTTATTCTGCATAGTTCTGTTTGGGATAAATTGTTTTGTTTTTGTTTTGCTATTTCCCCCCAGCCTATTCTTGCTGGTAACATTGCCTTTTGAAAATTTTGGCTCTATGTGGGATCTCAGTACCAATTCTTACCAATCTTATATGTTTTCAGAGTCTTCTTTCTACATCCTGCATGGTCTTAGAAAGACAAGGCTCTAGATTCCATGTAAAATTGAAGACACCTACTATTATAGTCCTCATTTTCTAAAATGACGCTTTTCTATCTATCTAGCTACTTGCCACTTCTGAATCTTGTTTATACGTACATGTTAAGTGGATCATTTTCTCAATCATAAGGATAATTTAAAGCATAACTGCCAGGTGCCTGGCTGGCTCAGTGGATTAAGCCTCTGCCTTTGGCTCAGGTCATGATCTCAGGGTCCTGGGGTCGAGCCCTGCATTGGGGTGGGGGTGGGAATCTCTGCTCAGCGGGGATCCTGCTTCCTTCCTCTCTCTCTGCCTGCCTCTCTGCCTATTTGTGATGTCTGTCTGTCAAATAAATAAATAAAAGTCTTTAAAAAAAAAAGCATAACTACCTATGTTATTTGGTGGTGGGTTTTTTTTTTTTTTTTTTAAGATTTTGTTATTTGTGTGTGAGAGAGAGAGCAAAAGCAGGGGGAGCTGCAGGCAGAGGGAGAACCAGGCTCCCTGCTGAGCAAGGAGCCTGATGTGGGATTTGATCCCAGGACCCCAGGGGATTATGACCTGAGCCAAAGACAGATGCTTAACTGACTGAGCCATCCAGGCATCCCACTACCTGTATTATTTAAATAACTGTTTTGCTCATATAGTCAGAGCCTATATGTGTAGTCTAGAATTTGGTGGTCTTGTCTTTACTGTACCATAGATTTGCCGTGCTTTGTAAAATCAGTTATTATAAACAGAATATTAATATTAATTAGGAGATGATTTAGTTGCATGCTTAGAAAAATGTGGCTTTGCAAAAAATTATTGTATAGTTTATTTCAAATTTTAGTATATGTAAACTAATTTCCTTATAAAAAGCAATTTTACATCAATGAGGAGCTTAGATATGATATGAGGTGCCTACCTTTTAAGAGGTCTGTGATCTCAGGCATCAACATTCTTGTATTTGGCTCTAGATCGCCTCTTCCTCAGTGAAGCTGTCAAAGGAGAAGATGACCAGGAAAGAAAACTCTTTATTCAAGTTGCCGAATCAGTACAGCGTTCACAAGATTTTACCACCCCTTTGTACATCTTCCTCAATTATTCGGTATTTAAGTCACTGTATTTTTTTACCCTAAATATTGCATTCAGATTTTTTTTTTCTTTTTTGGAATCATCTATCCTTTCCACATATTTTGCATACTGCAGAATAGTTTGTGCAAACTAAGACTATGCTTTAGGAAGGGTGATGTAGAGCTGAGCTTACTGTATATGGAAATGAGAGTCTTGGACTCGAGTCCTTATTGACCTCACATGCTAGCTTAGGCTCTTGTACAATTCACTTTGTATCCCTGGGCCTCAGTCTCCACATCTGTGCAAGATTCTTGTACTAGATGGACCCTTAAGATTTCTTCTAACACTAACATTTTATGATTTCAGTTTTTTATGCATTATGGGATTAGATAAATCACCTTTTCAAAATGTTTTTACTGACAAGTTGTGGAATCTGGGATTCTTTGCTATTTAAAGATATTCCTATTTTTCCTTACTATAATAACTCTGAAAATTTGCTGTGACTTGAATTAAGAGTAACAGCCAAATGATTGTGGATGGTGGGCACTACTCACTGACTAGGGTAAATTTTGCTCCAGAGAGCACCTAAAAGAAGCAAGCGGGGGGATTCTGGGATGAAGAATATATAATTCACTATCACTTAGAAAGTTCTTTAAGAAAGGTTGTTATGGAGTAAGACACTGGAGACTCTCAAACCATTGATAGGTTTATTAATATTTTAATGGAAAAATGGCATAAATATTGTGTGTGTGTGTGTCTGTGTGTGTGTGCGCACGCGTGCGCTGTTTTACTTTGTTTTTGTGCTGCTTTCTAATGTGGCTGTTTCTTTGACAGGAAAAGGGAAATGATTTCTAGCCTCTACAAGACATTATATAATGAAGAACCTCAAAGAAACTTATACTCACAAGAATTAAGTGGTAATAATAGGTTCTAGAATTTCTTGAATTAATTTCCTGATTGTGTGCTTAATAGAAATTGTTTCAGTGGTTAGTATCTCTTTCTTTACTCCTAATGGCATATAATATCAATTAATATTACATGATATGGCAAATGCTGTAGCCTGTGAGCAAGGCATAAGTATATTAAGTATTCATGAATATCTTCTGTCGTATTGATGAGATAGGCAAAATATAACATGTACTTATTCTAGTTCAAATTATTTGGGAAAAAAGTCTGGATATTACATCCAATTAATGTATTAGTGAGCATTGGAGTCACTGATTTTACTGGGATTTAGTCCTTGGTATCTTAATATTAAGAATCATAGTACCCTTCACTTCTTGACACTGAATTCTTCCATATCTTGGGTCTCTCCTCTATATTTATGGAGTCATTTGGTATATTTTCCCTCTTACCTTAACTCTGGTCATCATATTAGGCCTTTTTTAAAAAGTAATCTCTATGCCCAATATGGGGCTCAGACTCACAACCTCAGGATCAAGAGTTGCATGCTCTTATAACTGAGCCAGCCAGGCACCCCTGTATTAGGCATCTTTTATCTCCCATTTTTATTGGGATATAATTAAGATGAAGCACTGTATATGTTTAAGGTGTGCAGCATATTGACCTGACTTAAATATATTGTGAAATGATTACCACAATAGTTAATATCTGTCATCTCATATAGATACAGAAAAAAGGAAAACATTTCCCTTGTGGGGAGAACTCTTAGGATTGTAAACATCCATGGCCTTCCCTATTTTCTCATTGGAGAAAATGCCCTTTCACTTCTTGATTTTCTTTCATGCAATTTTTTTCTACTTCCTCAGGGACTATGTCAATTTTTTAAAAAGATTTATTTATTTATTTGAGAGAGAGAGAGAAAGAGCAGGGGGAGGGACAAAAGCAGAAGGAGAGGGGCGCCTGGGTGGCTCAGTGGGTTAAGCCGCTGCCTTCGGCTCAGGTCATGATCTCAGAGTCCTGGGATCGAGCCCCGCATCGGGCTCTCTGCTCTCTAGGGGAGCCTGCTTCCTCCTCTCTCTCTGCCTGCCTCTCTGCCTGCTTGTGATCTCTCTGTCAGGTAAATAAATAAAATCTTTAAAAAAAAAAAAAAAAAGCAGAAGGAGAGAGAGAGAGAATCTCAAGTAGACGCCACACTGAGCTTGGAGCTGATTCGGGGCTATGTCTCACAACCCTGAGATCATGACCTAAGCGGAAACCAAGTCGTTGATGCTTAACCAGTTGAGCCACCCATGTGCCCCAGGACTATGTCAACTTTATACTCTGTTTTTCCAAGAAGCTTCTTCAAAGAGTTGTTTTCCTTAATTACATATTTACTTCCCATTTCACTTACACCTGGTTTCCATCTCCAATACCCTATTAAAACTATTATTAAAGTCAGTATTATCAATGTTTTAGTCTTTCTCTGGTATTTAGCACTGTCATCTTGCATCTCTTTTTCTGAATATTACGTGTTGTATCCATACTGAACTAAATTCAACTCAGCAGACATTTTTTGAGGATCTATCCTGAGTTAGACACTAGCACTTGAAGAATGAAAAATCTTGCCCCCTAGAAGTTGACAGTTTAGTGAGGGGTATTAACATGCAAACAGTCACAATACCAAGAGCTTTGACTGAGATCCATACCTAGTATATAGGAGCATGGAAGAGGGATTTAACATTCCCAGATAAAGTTGTGGGAGCCTTTATGATGTCAATTTTGCATGACTTTCTTATAGTTTCTGAGGGTTCTTTAGGAAACTTACATATTTGGAGGCCATTCACAGAGACAGACCTAAAAAAGTCACAAGATCCATTTTAAAGCAAAGGGTTAGAACACAAAGATTTGCTCTCTTTCTTCTTTTGGTGATTATTGTTGTTGTTTTTCCTTGAGTGAGGGTGTCGCAGGGATAAGGATAGTTATTCATTGGAATTAATTAACTGTTTTTGGGGTTTGTGTTTAGCACTTCAGAAGGCCTGTAAAATTTTCAGCAAAATCCAGAGTGGTAAGATTTATGTGAATGATCTGCCAACGATCCATCACATGTTGAAGATTTTTATAAGTGACTCAGAAATGCAAAAAGCTCTAAAGACTATTGATATTGATGGTAAGTTTTATGTTTTAATTATTACTTTAGAGTCTGTAAACATAGATATAAATGATATGTTGGTCAGATTAATTGCAAATCATAAGAAAGCTAAGCTTTATAATATGTTGTAAAAACTTCTTTTGCACATTTATGGTAATGAGATTGAAAGTTGAGCCTCAGGTAATAATTGGATTCTTAATTACTGCATTAGATTATGACATACTTTCATCAATGTTTGTTATTTTTAGACTCTTAATTTTTGCTAATTGCATAGGATAGGGATGGGATAGGGAAAATTTCTTAAGGCAAAATGTTTGAGTATAAGAGAACAGATTAATATATTTATATTAAAATTAAGAACTTTAATTTATCAAAAGACACCTTAAAGTAAAAAGATAAGTTACAAACTTGGAAATAATTGCAACTCACAGAACTGGCAAAGGATTAGTTTATAGAATGTGTAAAGAACTCATACAAATCAGTAATAGAATAGAAAAATGGGTAAGATACATGGACAAGTATTTCACATAAAAGAAAATATATATAGCCAATTGTCATATAAAAATATGTTCTATCATTAGTAGCCAAGGAAATGCAAATCAAAAACTGAATAATTTCATTTAAAATCACCTAGAAAAGTAATTTTTCTTTTGTAGTCAGTGTCTAGTACTTTAATTAAAGAAGTACATAATAGAGAATTGATTACCTTTACAGACCATTCTAAGCTTGTTAGGGAGGAGAGACAAGCTTAGAATAAAAATGGAATAGATAAGTTGAAGGGGTAGCCAGAAATAAAATAAATTCAGTATACATAAATGCAAAGTAATACTCTAAGGTTGAAAGCACCAAGCTGTTCAAATATAAGATGTGGATTTATCATTATAAAAGATTTGTGGATGGAAAATCCTATGAGAGGTATGGACCACCCATAGAATGTTACTAAGCAATCTAGTAGTATTGAATTGAAAAGTTGCAATAGTGCGTATGTATCCAATCTGTCCAGCTATCCAAATCATCCCATCATTTTTTGAGTGTCTACTGTAGACAGCTTTCAGAAGGTATAAAAATAAAATGATATAAATAAAACTTTTAGAAGAGTTAAGAAGCAGCTCTATTTTTTTCTGACATGTTTATTTATCCATATGTTAATTTTCTTGGTGATTTTTTTTGGAGATTTATATTAAAATAATTATTCAAAGTGGAAATAACTTCATTCTCTAGAAGAATATAAAGAAGAAAGTAAGGAGAATATAAAGAAGAAAGTAAAACTTATGTGTAATCCCACTACATAAAGGCAAACTTTGGTATTTTTACATATATTTTTCTAGGATTGTCCTAAGCATGTGAGTGTGTGTGTTTGTGTGTATGTGTGTAAATGTGGTATACACACAAGCATGAACACATAATTAAAAATATACATGGACTCATATGCATACAGTCTTTTTCTGTTAGCATTATATGTTAGTCAACTTTCCATGCCTTGGATTTCTAATAACAATATTACTAAAAACCTTAAAAATTTCACATTCTTTGACATAGCAATTTCAGTTTTAGCTATCTTTTGTCTGATGGGAGAGAAAACAATGCTTGTAACTGTAAGAATATTAGAAATAATTTATACTTATATAGATTATTTGTTATATAGCTTATTTTTCAGAACAATTTGTTTTGGTTTTTTGATCTATCCCATAGAATAACTCACAGCCATTTAAAAAGGCAATATGGGGGCGCCTGAGTGGCTCAGTGGGTTAAGCCGCTGCCTTCGGCTCAGATCATGATCTCAGGGTCCTGGGATGGAGTCCCGCGTCGGGCTCTCTGCTCAGCGGGGAGCCTGCTTCCCTCTCCCTCTCTCTCTCTCTCTCTCTCTCTCTGCCTGCCTCTCTGTCTACTTGTGATCTGTCTCTGTCAAATAAATAAATAAAATCTTTAAAAAAAATAGAATAAAAAGGTAATATGGACCTATACTTATTTATATGGAAAGTTGACCAACATACAATGTTACATTTTAATTGGTCTCAGGTTGATTAATGTGAAATTACCTCTAAAATTTTTGCTGTAACAAGTAATGCTACAAAGAATGTTCTTATTCATAATTCTTGCACATCTGTGTAAATATTTTTATAGGATAGATTCCTAGAAGTGAAGAAGCTTGGTCATAGGATATGCATATGTCATAGGAAAATGGCTTATGTCAAATTGTTATTTCATCCAGCTTTCTTGAGATATAATTGACAAATAAAATTGCGTATATTGTATATATTTAAGGTATACAACATGATGATTTGGTATACATACACATTGTGAAATGGTTACCACAGTCAAGTAAATAACACATCTATCACCTCACCTAGCTACTTTACATGTGTGTATGTGATGAGAACACTAAGTTCTCTTAAGATCTACTCTCTCGGGGTGCCTGGGTGGCTCAGTGGGTTAAAGCCTCTGCCTTCGTCTCAGATCATGATCTCAGGATCCTGGGATCGAGCCCCACATCGGGCTCTCTGCTCCGTGGGGAGCCTGCTTCCTCCTCTCTCTCTGCCTACCTCTTTGCCTACTTGTGATCTCTGTCTGTCAAATAAATAAAAAATCTTAAAAAAAAAGATGTACTCTCTCAGCAAATTTCAAATATATAATATAGTATTATTAACTATAGTCACCATGTTGTATATTAGATTCCCAGAACTTTTTCATCTTATACCTAAAATTTGTATCCTTTGACAAACATCTGCCCATTTCCTCCATGCCCCAAAGTCTATCAGATGGGTTTATATATAGTTACATAAATACCACATTTTCTTTGTTCCTCTGTTGGTGAGCACTTAGGCTGTTTCCATTTCATGGCCATTGTGAATAATGCTGCAATGAATGCTGAGTGCACATATCTCTTTAAGATAGTGCTTTTATTTCCTTTGAATATATATACACAGAAGTGAGCTTGCTGGATGATATGGTTGTATATCATAATTGTTTATACCAGTGGAATTTTAAATTATCTGCATATTTTATAGTTTTATTGAGGTATAATCAGAATATTTAAAGTATACAGTTTGAAAATTTTAACCTATGTATTGTGACAAGCCAGTACCTCTTTTATCTACCTCTTTGTAAGTCCTCATTCTCTCTCCACAAGCCCTGTCACCACTCCCCAAGTAAACACTAATCTGCTTCTGTCACTACAGATTGTTTATATTTTCTAGAATTCTATATAAATGGGATCATGCAGTAAGTACTCATTTTTTTAGTCTCATTTCTTTCATTCAGCATAATTATATTGAGATTAATCTACGATTTTATACACTGAAGTTTATTTCTTTTTGTTGCTAAGTAGTATTCACTTTTATGGATATACCAGAATTTGTTTATCCATTCACTAATGGTGGACATTTGAGTTGTTTCCAGTTTTTGGCTATTACTAATGAAGCTGGTATAAACACTCATTTGTATGTCTTTGTGTGGTGATATGCTTTCATTTTTCTTGGGTAAATACTTGGTGGTAGAATGATTGGGTCATATGGTAGATATATATTTAAATTTTTTAGAAACTGCTAAACTGTGCTTCCAAAGCAGCTAAATTATTTTACATTGCCATGAGCAGTATATGAGAGTCCTAGTTGCTCCTTATCCTTGACAATCCTGGAATTGGTGAGCCTTTAAAAATTGTAGTCATTCTAATAGATGTATGGTATTATCTCATTGTGGTTTTAATTTATATTTCCTGAATGATCCAATGATTTTAAACATATTTTCATGTGCTTATTTGCTATCTATTTATCTTTTGCCCATTAAAAATATGTTTGTATTCTTATTGCATTTTGAAAGTATATATTCTGAATATGAGTTCTTTCCTGGATATGATTAGTAAATACATTCTTCTAGTGTATGACTTGTCTTTTCATTTTTTGAAGAATGTCTTTCAAAAGGTGTAAGTTCATACTTCTGAGGAAGTCTAGTCTACAATTATTTATTTTATAGATTGTGTTTTTGATGTTTTATCCAAAAGGTTTTTGTTTAACTCTAGATCACATAGAAATCAGAAAACTAGTCAAAGTAGTTGATTGAAATTTGTGCAGTTGTTTCATTGTTTTTGAAGGAGAAGCCACTCTCAAGTTATTATTCTGAAAAAGAAGTTTTGAGGCAGACAACTTGACAAACTTTCTGATATTAGAAAAAGAGTTTCTGTGGTTTAGAAATGAGAACAACTAAGCCTTGTCAATTTCTCTGATGGTAAAAGCCTGCAGACCACTAGAAGCCCTGAAATGTTCTTTTATAAGTTACTTGGTTCAGATGATATTAAATGGAATTTTGGGTTTATAATCATTTCTTCAGAAATAGATAAACCCTTTCAAAGTTGGCCATATTTACTAAGAGGGAAATGACTTCATAGTTATTTAACTTGCAGAATCTTGAAAAATTCAGATGTTCCTTGACACAGATCTATGCTTGTCTAGAAAATGGGATTTAAGAATCCTGATTCTGTGTTTTATCACACTTTGTAAATCTGGGTTTTCAGCTCTAGTTGCTATTAGACATGACCTGTGCGTTATCATGCAAAAAAGTCATAATTTCAACTTCTCATGCAAGCCAATCAAAAAATTCTTACTGACATTTTCATTTGTATAATTTAGATATCTTTTTTTCTTCTTTTAAGAAATAGGCATTACTTTTTGCTTGAGAAATGAGATAACTTTTGGGGGTAAGGATTGGTTTAATATTGTGCAATATTTTGTGCATTTGTTTTAATGTATTTTGTGTGTATGTGTATGTAATTAGAGCGAGAGTGAGAGCAAGAGTGGAAAGGAGGAGAGGAGAGAGGGTGATGGAACAATGTGAGGCAAAGCTTTCATTAGAATTTCAACTGGATCCACAGTCTCCCCCAAAACCACTGGTATAGGAGGGCATTAAAATCAATCCTATTCTTTCACGTTAACACCATTATGTATATAAAATTGACATGTTGCATGATTTTTTTTTGCATCTAATTACAAATATAAAAATTAGAGCTTTGAGCAAAGAGCACT